CAGCATGACTTTCACACCCCACCCCCTCCCTCCAGGCACACACAGAGAAAATCTCACTCATTCCCTTGCACCTTGCGAACCATGGACAATAATATTAGCAAAACACTGCCTTAGCCGCATTCCTTTCGTTCGTGAGCTGTGGACCAGGCCAGGGCGGTCGGTGTCGTCGCCTTGTAGTTGCTGTCGCCTGTGGATACATTCGAACATTCTTCCTAATCTTTCTCCTGCTCTATCACTCACACTGTCTCTCAATCCACAGCTCAGCTCGTCATACGTTCAAAAGTTGCCCACTGATCATGTTTCGTTAGTGTGTGTATAAGTTTGTGTGTGTACATGTGCATGATGGAGGTGGGTGTGTGGTGGGTGTTACTGAAGGTTGTCTGTAAACGGGCTTGCCATGCATGCTGTGTTCATTCCCAGACCAGAGGCAGAATGAAAGTTGGCGCCGAACTCTATCAAAATAAATAGGCAAAAAATCAAGAGACCGGAAGCCGGAAACCGTTCGGAGAAATAAAGATCGGCACTATTTCTCTGAACGTTCGGAGAAATAGTCACTTCGTTAACATTATTTCCGTACCTTGTGCCAAACTTTCGAAATGAGTTGGTGGTGAGAGAACGTTCAATACAAAACGCTTTCTGCTCTTTAGTAATCTTTATTGACCATGATCTCAGCAGGCAAAGGAAACTTGAGATAAACTATCTGCAAACTTCTGTTGGCCTGTTAGACTACTGTAGTTTGCAATGTGGCGCAATCGTTGAGATTTTTAGAGGTAGGCATAATGCGAACAAGTGCGTCATGCTACAAAAATGGGGACATAGTTGAAAATATGTTGTTTTTTACTCGCTATGTAGAGCAAAACTTTCTGCGGATTTATCTAAAACGAATATCAGACGAATTACTTTGACTTTCAAATGTTGAGTACACTTCATTTTGGAGGAAAATATTAACAAAAAAAGTTGTACAGTTGTTTTTTTTTTGGATCACTTTGTAGTTTGTAAAAATGCAATAAAGAAAGGAACCAACTTCTTTCAACATACACGTTCTATCTCTTCGACAGCTTGTCCTGGAGGCAATACACCAAAACCCAAACCTTGGACATCTCTTCGTGGACGATGTGCGCATGTCTACAGGATCCTGCCCCGACCTCGCAGCTGATGGTGAGACTTCAGAGTTTTCATCTAGGCCACTAGATACAAAACTTCAATCTCTCATAAAACTAAATTAATGATATCAAAGTGCAAGATGTCACAAACATCCCCTGACTTCATGAGAATTGGCAATTGGCCTTGTCCGGGTGCTTTAAGTAGGTTGGATTACAGAAATGCTTTGGAGGGCCTCTGAACATCTGTTAGATTCTTTGTAGACTATTATGCAGATGTACCTGAATCGAACTGCCTGTCAAATTCGTTAACGAGGGTAATTTGAGGAGCTTTCAAGGGTCTCCCCCAACTTGTTTTAGTAAGAATTTTACGGCATTTGCAGCACAAGTAGGTCGTACAAGTTCCGAGGTTTAGATGTGTTAAGAGTAACGTACGAAGGAAAGAAAGGGAGCTATGGACGTTAATATTTGATAGTAAATTAGGAGCAAACCATACCAGAGCACCGACCAACTACTCACAACCCCTACTTGGCTAGGGTCTTTTGGTAATGGAAATTAGATTAAGGGATATTGCCTTTTAAACAGCCAAACAGTGTTTACAGGGGTGTTAAACCAGATATAGATACGATTAGATATTTGATTTGGAATTCATATCGGACTTTCTTTTGTTTCTTTTATGTGCGAAAAGTGGTGCTTGGGTTTTAAAGTCCTCTTCAAGGTTGTTACGTGAAAGTAAATATCGCACCGTAGCTAAAAAGATATATTGAAACGGATACATTTTGATCCTTCTCTTTGAACTATAAACACTAAGTATAAGCAAAGCATAATCGATCAAGAAACGCTCATTTATAGACACATAAAAACCCACAAACATACTTCAACAATTGATTGTAAACTTTCAGCTGATATCTGGAGCTGTGACTTTGAGGAGACAGATGGCAAGCAATGTGGTTTTGGGGTTTCCTCTTCGCCAAGTGGCAACTGGACATTGTCCACTGAAATAGTAAATGTGGGCGTTGAGCAAATGAACATAACCGACCACACCCTCAATGCACCGGAGGGACATTTTCTATATTCCCATGTGAGTAAAGAATCTACTGACGTAAGTTAACTAGGGCCTCAATTTGTTTATTCCGTCGTTTATTCCCATATCTTTTCATATATGCAGCAATATTTATGTTAGTATGTGGATTGCAAAAGGAAAAAATAGGGGAAGGGGGGGGGGGGTGAATTCACCTCTTGAGAAATGTGTCTATGAAAGGAATAAAAAGTGTAAAAAAAGACAACATACTAACTTTAGTGCAATCAGATTATTACAAATGAAAAAAAAGCAAAACATTACTTATTAATGCTATTTTTATTTTGTGGCCTCGTGAGATTGCGGTTACGGAGGTTCCATGTCCAGCCTGGACCGCCTTTTCGTCCTTGGGAACAGCCTTTTCACGAATTTTCCTATCCATTTGGCTCGGTTTTATCGGAGATGGACATTAATTTTGGAGGTCACTTCTCTTAAATAACCTTACAGCGTTGCGATGTGTCAACCCTATTCCATAAAAAAATGCTATTTTCTTTCTTGTAAACCTTTTTTTCTGCTTGTACCTTAAAGGTGGTCGTCAACTCTTCCGCCACCATCAAAAGTGGCCTCATTGATGCTCGGGACTCGACAACACCTCTCTGCTTGTCCTTTTACTGCCGCCAGATCGTAAGTTCTTCGAGATTTTTAACTTTAGAAATTGTGTCAGTGTAGTTCCTGATTTGTTATATGTATGGCTCCCCACACCGGAATCAAACTCTGGTCTTCTGCGTGCGGTAGCGAAGCGTTGAACCGCTACACCTCAGACACCGATTCACTGAGACTTCATTGCTACAACCTTGGACATTTTCCTTTCAGACAGATTAAGTGTCATTTTGCCTGCTTTACTCTACTTACCACTTTACCGTACTTATTTGCCAGTATTAAACAGATCAACGTCTTCTGTAGTAGTCGCGTTTGTTGGAAAATTGCTCAACTGCAAGCTCTATGTGTTTTACAATCTATTACCCGTGCAGACCTGTTTGTATTCTGAAACAATGGAGCGTACAGTGCAAGCTGTCATTTTACAGGCGCTAAAACACTATACACCATTATTCTTTCTCTGTCTTTAAAAAAGCACAGTTTCATTCCTACTCGCAATTTAGGAATTTGGACTGTAAACATTTCTGTACCGATAGAGGCAGCCCAGACACTTGTTGAAAAACCTGTCCTCCACAGGGTAAAGGGGCCGGTCAACTCAACGTATCTGTGACATCACCAGGAGCGGTCACCACCTGGAGTCGGAGCTTTGACCTTGGACCAGGCTGGCGGAAAATGTTGGTCAATGTGGAGCCCAATGGAGACTTTGCGGTGAGTTGTTCTTGGCGTACACCAATGAGAGGAGCGAAAGCTTTATAGGTTTAACGTCCTTTGTTAGGTTATTCAAGTGGTGGGACCTCCGAATTGAAAGTCCATCTCCGATAAGATTTAGTGAATTGGGAAAATTTATATAAAACGTCTTTCTTTCCCAAAGATGCAATGTCGGACCGATCTGAAACCCGAACCCCCGAACCCGCGGTCTCACAATTACGAGTCGGGGCAGCTTAACCACTATGCTACTGACGTCAACCATAGAGAGTGCAACCACTTTGATAATGGAGAAGAAAATTGAAACAATACTCTGGGACCAGAAGCACATTAAAAATATGTTTATTTTTCTTTGTTTCCCATTCCTTAACCATAAGGGGCTCTTGTGGTTTACAGGTTAAAGTGTTCGCCTCTCATTTAAAGGTCCCCGGTTCGAATCCGGGTAGAGACGGTAAAATTTCTTCTCTAAAATTGTCTCCTTTCACCTCCTTTCCTGCTCTCAAGCATCGCACTTTCGTCTGCTTTCGTCTCCACTTTTTGCCCCCCTCACATCCTTTGCCCCCTCCTCTGGGCTCCTGACTCTTTCTGCAGAATTTCTACTGCTACTCCTTGGCTCCTTCTTAATGCTGTCTTTCAGCCGTAGCCCTGATCTTCTGTTAGGAAATATCTACACCTAGCCTTCTCGGATAAGGGCGAAAATTCTCGGAGGTCTCGAGTGCAAGTTGCGCACGTTAAATATCCCGTGGTGATGTAAAATCAATAAGCAAGCTTTGGCCGCCATCAGGGCAAAATTCAAAATTTCCTACCAAATGAAAAAAAATGTTTAATGCGTCCCGCGCGCTCATCTGACCTAATGCAGTTGCGAGCGTCGTAAAACACTTACCACCCCTCCCCCTAAAAACAAACAAACAAACAAACAAATAAAAACAAACAAACAAATAAAAACAAACAAACAAACAAACAAAAACAAACAAACAAACAAACAAACAAACAAACAAACAAAAAACGACCATGTTCCTTTTATTGGAACTAACTTGTTTGTGTGTATAAGGGCTAGGCATCTCCTTTCTGAACTCTAATCACTCATAAGCGCATACGAATTTATTACCATTACCCCATACAAAATTCTATTCAGCAGTCACATACAGTTTTAGGCAAGGCGGAAAAATGAATAATAATATGTGGCTCACACAATTCTCACATTTCTCTCTCTTTCTCTGACTTGCTTTCTACTTCCCTCCCCTCCCCCCTCTCCACTCTCTCTCTCTCTCCCTCTCTCCCTCTCTCCCTCTCTCTCCCTCTCTCTCCCTCTCTCTCTCTCTCTCTCTCTCTCTCTCTCTCTCTCTCTCTCTCTCTCTGTTTCTCTCTCTCCCCCCCTCTCTCTCTCTCTTTCACACACACACACACACACACACACACACACACACACACACACACACACACACACACACACACACACATATATATATATATATACATATATATATATATAATATATATATATATATATATATATATATATATATATATATATATATATATATATAATACTCTGTCACATTTTAAAGTATACACTGTGTTAAAATGAAAATAGCTAGTTTCACAATGAGTAGTTATTCTTTAAAATTTCAGGAATACTAATTTAATCAATTTTAAATGCGAAAAAAGCAACACCAATACGGAATGTTAACATAACAGGTTTACTCACGATATACAAGAGTGTGGGGGGTGGTTTACAAAAGTAACACGATCAGCAGCGTTGACGACGGCTTGACATCGTCGCCGCCTTGAATCAATCAATCGCTGCACTGCCTGTTGAGGGATGTTATTCCACTCTTCATGGGATGCTCTCTCAAGTTGAGGAAGTGTCTGAGGCTGGGGTTGTCGCATATTGTTCAACTCATCTCTGGTTAGTCTTGCCGTTTTGAAACGATTCCGTAGATGCGACAGGCGTATAAAAAGATCCTCTCTTTGAGTTCTTCTCCCTCGTTGGCTGTGTCGATCCTTTCCTGATTTTGTTGTTTTCTCGCGATCCATTGTTCTTCGTGTCACACTAAAATGTCTCGCAACAGAGGATACTAAGGCACCCCCGCAGATCATTCCAACAAGCTGATTTCGCACATTTTCTCGTAGGGCGTGACATGAGGAAACGTAGACAAAACAAGTTTTATCACTGGCGAATTGTTACAAAAATGACAAAGCTTCGATGTGTGTTTCTTTTTTAAACAAATCATTGCCGCATCATGAATAATTCTAAAAAAAACACGAAACATGTAACACGCATACAGATACAAAACCACTCGCGCGTTCAGAAATCTGAAAACAGCTCACCAGCGACAGATATATCACGTAATCAGTGTGTAAATTTGAAAGTAATTGGTGGCATAGATTTTGTTTTATTGAGCTTCAAAATGTGTATACTTAAAAATGTGACAGAGTATATATATACATTTTCTCTAGTGCCTTACATTTATGCCCAATTCAAATCTAAAACCGGAAACTACGGCACTGATATAGAATTTTATACGGCTACACATCGGAATAGCGAGCTTGCGTAGTACTCAACATTGGAATACCGAGCGAATCTGATATTGGAATGACAAGTCCTATAATTATTAACAACTTAACTGCTGTTGTTGCAGGTTGCTTTTCAGGCTGTTATAGGTCAGTCAAAAGTTTCCTACGCCATCGATGACATTTTGATCTCAGAGGGAGAATGCAAGACGGGAGGTAAGTGGTTATAATTTTTTATTTTTTATTCAAGGTATGGTACAACGTTCACTTTGATAAGAATAAGGAATGATGGTATGATGATTTTGACACTTGTATATTTTTTAAAATATGAAAATCAACACATATAATCATGTGTACCTCCCACCATAGGTTCAAAAGACGTAACATTGAATACCCTTATCCGGTCATTTCATTCCTCTTTACTTTGTCAATGGACAATACGTTGTAGAATGTTCGTTAAAAAATTCGTCAATATGATGATATGTATTATTTTCGAGTCTTCTGGAGCTCTGCTCTATTCTCAGAGCATTTTACGAATCTGAAAAGCTTGTTAAATGCTTACCGTAATACTGTATTACAAATAGTTACGACGACCACATAATTAACCTTAATGATATCAAGAACAGTTATTGTAAAAGCTAGAATCAGCACCAACTTACATTGATGTAACAACAACAGCAGCAACAGCAACAACAGCAACAGCAGCAACAACAATAACAACAACAACAACAACAACAACAACAACAACAACAACAACAGAAAAGCAACAACACCAACAGCAAATGACAACTCTTACAACAAACATTTTTCAAAACCAAGCCTTCCTTTCCACACGCAGAGTCCTGCACCTTCGAACACGACCTTTGTCAATGGAGCAACTACGGCCACGACCCTGACCCTGGTTTCTACTGGACGCCCATGAGAGGCGTGTCCACAGGAGGTGGCTATCGCCCGGCATGTGACCACACATTCGGTACAGTCTACGGCCATTCGCTGCAGATGGAGACTGTTGGAGCGCCGGTTGGGACTCGTGTTAGGCTGTACAGTCAGGTAAACCCAAGCTTTCTGGGTTTTTTCAAATACTTTAATCCAATGCTTTTAAAATCCGGCAAGAGGTGTTACTTTGAATAAAGAATGTTTTGATTTTGATCGAGTTCAAAGCCCTCCTCGTGGGGAGGAAATTTTATCTTACATCTCCATCTTCTCACTGCGATTTATCCCACATATCCGAGGTTAACCCTGACAGATACAACCAAAACAGCTTACCACCTTTATAACATGAATGCATAATGTCAACAGTTTTAAAGGGGGAGTAAACATTATAATTTCTTTTCTAACAATGTGTCGCAGGAGTTTTCAGCCTCCGACAACCCTATATGTTTGTCCTTCTGGTACCACATGTTTGGCAAGGATGTGGGCCAGCTCAGAGTAATGGTCACCAACGATCCCAGCTCTGGAGATGATCTCAAGTAAGTCCAAATCATTTGCTCGCCAGACTGTTAATATTTCTTTGGGTATATATTGTTGTTTCTATTTTGCTTTCTTTTGGCGACTCTGGATCATGCGTTCTTAGAGGTTTGGGGGCTAGATCTGTGTTCTTTTTTCTGGGTTGCTTTTTGAAGTATTTCGTTCTTCTGTTTTGTTTGTCTGGCGAGTTTCACCGTTTGGCGATGTTACTTCATTGTTTTGTTTTGCTTATTTATTTCGTCTGCTTGTAAATTGTGTTTGCTGATTTCTAATATCTTAAAGGTAGTTTTTATTTTGTTCACCGTTTCTAGGTTACTGTAAAATACTACTAAAAAGTGTAAAAAGCCACTTAGTGTAACAAGAATCATAAACTAAGTAAGTGATAAAAAACCAGCATATTCGGTAAATAGGATACTTTATTTATACATGTATTTATTTCAATACAATGTTAGTGTTTACGTATCCAATTCAAGGTGTTGACAAATATACCCCGCACCCCTCTACTTTCAAAAGTTGCACTAATCAAACTAATAGAATAAGAGGCTTCAAGCATGTGGCCCTAATCAGCTTTTAAGACGCCCGGGGAAAGTTGCTTCATGGATGGGCTAAGGTTTCTTAACGTGAGCTGTGCTGTCACCTGCTATTCCAGTTTGAGAATGTGAAAGAATTTGTTCTCGTTGTTGGGCGGACGCTTGTAGGTCCTACTATGTCGCCCAAGAACATCCTATAAATCCATTAATGCTCTGTAGGGTTGGGATCTGGTGAGAAAAATTAGGCCCGTTCATCCTGTTAACTTGTTGATGCTGCAGGAAATTGTCTACGACCCCCCCCCCCCCAAAAAAAAGGTGTATCCATAGCCCTCTGTAGTTATTGCTATTGGTGGTGGTGGTGGTTGTGGTGTGCTGCGAAGAAGTTAAGATTGAACACACACCACGTTCGTTCAATAAGTATGATTTCCCTCAAACCATATTAACCCTTTTTTGGAGAATGAGAGGGTTAACATTTTATTCATTCCATTTCTTCTGGCTGTGTTGCAATAAAACATTTTGAAACACCCTCAAACCTAGATCTTGCTACTCTCCACTGTCTCTTTAGTGACTGGAATACTATAAACAAGTGTATTCTTTACATTGTTTTTCTTTCCTTAGCGAGGCGAATTTGTGGGAACTGGACGGTCCGACAGATGACCTTTGGCACGAGGCTCACGTGAACATATCGTCCTTGTACACAAAGACTCCATACATGGTAATGGAACTCTTTTTTTATCCCACAGATTGACTTTAAAAATAAAGTTAAAAGTACACCTCCGGTCTGTGGGAGAGCCATTGGAAAAAACAAACAAATAACAAACTTCACAACATTAAACCCAAACTGGGACCGCGAAATCCTTCGGGCCTCTCCAGAAGAGACGAAGTCATTTTTACTCGATTACGCCTTGGACACACGGCCCTAACACACAAATAACTCCTTCGGGGAGACGAGAAGCCGTTCTGAATCGGATGCGACACAGATTTTACCATTTGACCCGAAGGAAATACTTTAGATGCAAAAGATTGCAAGATATTTTTCCGTCGTTGTTCCCAACAGAATTTTAGATTTTATGACGGCCATTGGCCTTTATGGGAAAATACAGAGTGAAATTAAATTATAAATTTTTAAAATGTTATTTAGGAAAGTTGTTTTAGATTGAAAATAAATTTACACCGAATTTTAAATATTTAAACATTTTTAGATCTAACTATTGACCCGAGCCCAGCCGTACAGTGAACTGTTGCGAATAGAACTAACTTGTGTTTCGTGCGCTCACATGACCTTATGCAATTGCGAGTGCCGTAAAACTCCATACTAAACTAAACTAACTCTCCTTTTATCTTTCATGGCCGCTTGTGTCAATGCATTTCTTTAAGAACTTTCCAGCCAAATTAGCAAGCTTACTTATTACTAATAGTATAGCTGTAAGGTCCCTAAAGAAATACCCTGACAGTGCTCTTTGACGTAATTCGAGTTCATCATAGAGGGAATCACGAATGACTAAATTTGGAGTAAAAATTCAAATAAAATAAAAAAATAAATCGAGGACAGGGGGGATGCCAGGGGCACTCCTAATTGCGAGAATGGTGGTTTACCCTTCATTTGGGCTCCCATGATACACGAGTCGTCACAAAGTAAAGAAAAAAAATAGCGACGTCCACGTCAGTGAACGGTCTGGGAGGTTACTAATACCAGTTTATTGTCGGACCCAAGTACAAACAATCATTGTTCATCTTCTGTTTTCAGGTCGTGATCGAAGGGACGGTTGGGACATCGACCCAGGGAGACATCTCTATTGATGATACCTTGTTTTTCGTTGACTCTTGCACCACACTGCCTTCGTATGCTGAGCCTTCCAGGAGTGGTGAGCTCTGATCGAATGTCCGGGGAGTTTCAAAACACAAACTGAACGAAATCTGAAACCAGGTTTTACAGGAAGGGCACAGTTAAATAAATTGCATTGAAGCACTTTCTTTTTAAAAAGAACGGAAAGAAAAAAAATGTCAACACAAGAAGAAGAAGAAAAAGAAGAGGAAAGGGATTTATGAGAGGAATAAAGGAGAAAAATGGAAAAAGTAGTACTGAAAGGAAACAGAAGATAAAGTGGAGGTTGAAAAAGGAAGAAAGAAAAAAAGGAGGAGGAGGTTAGGACAGACATTACAGAAAAATCCTGTAATATAAAAGTGTCACACCACCTTGCAGAAACCAGTTTAAGTATCCGAAGAAGCATAACGTGCGAACACTTCTTCATATTAAAAAAGAAAAGCAAAGGATTAAAAATAATGGATCTTACCTTCAATTTTTTGAAGATGCATATTTTACCACACCGTTTGAAGAAGCGATGTTTTGGGGCTCTTTAAAAAGAAGTATAACTTTGGTATTTACTCTGATTCTTCAACTCTGTTTTCTTAATCTAAGATTTAAAAAGGCAGCGTAATCACGAGATTGCGGGTTTGTGGTTCGAGCCTCAGCTCGGCCCAACGTTATGTCCTTGGGAAAGGCCCTTTACACGAATTTTCCACTTGGCTCGGTCCTTTCGGGGATGAGCATTAAACTCGGAGTCACGCATTTGAAATAATCTAACATTGTTGATTGGGCCATTAAACCTATTCCATTTCTGTATTTTAAAAGGGTAGTCAACAACATACAAGTTACAGAACGTGCAAATTTGTGTATGTAATTTGTGTTTGAGGGCTAAAATTTTGCCCAGCATTTTGTCGTATTATTATTATTATTATTATTATTATTATTATTATTATTATTATTATTATTATTATTATTATTATTATTATTATTATTATTATTTGTCAGCTACGTCCTTAAAAAGTGTATTTCTTTGTCCCATCCCTTCAAGCTCTCAATACGTTGGCGTGTGACTTCATGGATACCTTGTGTGGCTGGAGCCAGGGCCAGTCTGATGATGGTGATTTTGAACTTGGACACGCAACATCCACCCAGTGTCAATTTGGAGATTCGGGTTAGTTATGTTCATTCAAAACATCCTGAAAGCCCTACTGAGCACGATGGACTATTTTGAAAACGACTCAAATAGTTTGGTTCCTACCTCCTAGTCTCTCTCTTTCACCCCCCCCCCTCCGTCTCTCTCTCATTCTCTCACTCAATCTCTCTCTCTCTCTCTCTCTCTCTCTCTCTCTCTCTCTCTCTTTCTCTCTGTCTGTCTGCCTCGCATGTCTTTTCCCGTCTGTTTCTCTTTCTCCCACTCTTTGTCTGTTGCTCTGTCTTTTTGTCAGTCAGTCAGTCAGTCAGTCAGTCAGTCAGTCAGTCAGTCAGTCAGTCAGTCAGTCAGTCAGTCAGTCAGTCAGTCTGTCTGTCTGTCTGTCTGTCTGTCTGTCTGTCTGTCTGTCTGTCTGTCTGTCTGTCTGTCTCTCTCTCTCTCACTCTCACTCTCACTCTCACTCTCTCTCTCCCTCCCCCTCTCTCTTGTTCTCTGTCTCTTTCTCTTTCTCATACTCGTTCTCCCCCGCCCTCCTCTCCCCGCTTTCTTTTTACTTCTTAATTTTCCCTCTTATTTCTCTCTTTATCCCCCTTTCCTCCCCCCTCACATTCTTTCACCCCCTTACCAACCGCTCCTTTTCATCCTTGTGATAGAATTGTTAGTTAGCTTGTAACGGCATAGGACCGAACCATTATTATAGCAACACCTGTTGATTTTGTGATATTACGCTTTTAGTCTCATTCTCCTGTATTTTAACTCCTTTTTACATTTCCCATTTTTGTTTATGCATCCTGTTTCTGTGATTTTTGTGGGGATCTTTTTCTCAAAGAAATTCTAATAATATTCTTTAGACTATTTTTAAAAAATCTCTGGATAGGACTTTTATCTCTTAGCGTCCGTGGTGTGGGACTTGAGCACTTATAAGCTGTCGCCCGCAGAAGACCGGAGTTCGATTCCCCTATAGGGAGCGTTTTTATTGAGTATCTCCGTTTTTTTACTGGGATGTTATCCCTCTCAGTCGAGGTTGGCTTTGACAAGCAGGATCGAAGCTAGCCTCCTAAAAGACCTGAACTGTGTAGTTGGGGGCGTGAAAACAACTATATTAAAACGAAAATTCTTATCTTTACTCAGGACATCTGATGCTAACCTCAAAGGGCACAGACCTCAGCACGACCGAACTGCTGTCCCCTGTCATCGCCCCTACTAGACAGAGCTGCCTCAACTTCCACTACCATATGTACTGTTGGCTTGGACAAGTAACCTTCTCCGTGCTCCGCTGGAGCAATGGTTTGGAGGTCATGGAGTATTATCAAGAGGTCAAAAACGGTCAAACAATCAAAGGGAATGGCGATTCCTGCGAACGTCTGATGTCCATCAACATTGACAGTACGACGAACTTTCAGGTAAGTTCACGTCATCAGTTATACATTACCGATGGTTTCTTAAAGAATAATTTCTAATTATGCGGTTACATTAAACGCTACTGCAAGAACATCGACTACTGCAGAGGTAGAGAGCAGTTTATCCCTCTTCCAAAGTAGTTGACCCTGAGCTCTTTGTCCAAAGTAAGCTTGGGAGGTTTGTGTATTTCACGTTGTTTTAGAAAGTGATTAGCACTGCTCTTGTGTTTTCTGCCACAGACATTTTTTTGGACGCAGATTAGGCTTGTATTTTTTTAGAAGGGGATCCAAACAGGAGAGGGGAAACACAGCCATCTGTGCGGACCAGTCCGACGGATCTCCAACCAGATCATGATGGAAACTATAAGTAGACAGACTCTGGGATGGATCCGGAAGGGGGGGGGGGGCAGAGATGGACATGTTCCGACTGCAGTGCCCCCAACACAGTGGACAAATAAGACTGCGTACTGTATCGGTCGCTGGTTTTCGTTCTCTCTCTAACACACACACACACACACACACACACACACACACACACACACACACACACACACACATACACACACATACACATACACATACACATACACATACACACACACACACACACACACACACACACACACACACACACACACACACACACACACACACAAGCGCCCGTCCCCTCCCCTCTTAAAAAACTCCAGAAAAAGCCCATAACAGAAAACAACAAACAACAAACAACAAACAAACAGACAAACAAACACACACACAAACAAACAAACACACAAACAAACACACAAACAAAAAACAAGCATTAAAATGTAAAAACAAATTTATATAAAAAACGACTCAAAGAAACTTCGCTGTGAAGCTTGCACCCCACGGGTCGCGCTATCACTCCCATGTCAAAGGCAAAACATGGTTAGTCTCAAGAGAGGTAATCCATCAAATATGACAACTGTTGTTTTTCAGCACCACTATTAAACCAGTCTTGTTAGTTTTGTTACCTTTGGCTTTGGCATTAAACTGGTAAAGTTGAAGGTGTATAGAGTGGTAATGCGGTCGTGCTTCCGACACTGTACGTTTGTCAGACATGGGCAGTTTAAGAGTATTGTGCCAGAAACCTGCAGCGTTTCCACATAAATTGCTTGTTCAGAATCACTTGGCAAGACAAAGATCCTGACACAGAGAGATCCTGGCTCTTGATGGTCGGCCAAGCACCTACCCCCTGCCCAGGCAAGCCAAAGTCAGATGGACAGGCGGAAGCGCTTGGATGCCTGACGCACATTCTCCCAAAACATTGTTCTCCGGCAAACTTGTGAAGGTCTGGCACACATAGAGTGGACAGAAAAGTGCTCCAAGGACAAACTCCAATTATCATTGAAGAGCTTTGAGATCTACCGGGCTCATGGGAAACTCAAGCGTATGACGTTCCACCTGGCGATGAAACACCAAGAAGCCCACGTCATCCTATTAGAGGAACAGGATTGCGGAAGCTCAAAGAAAGCGTGAGCTGCAAAAATCCACAACCATTGATCTTCCACAAAATATTATGACAGAGCACATGTGGCCAATCTGACTAGCATTTTAAGCAGCCTTAAAGGTTTGATCAGCCCAGCCTTGCACGCGTTATTAAAATTTCCGCTCCCAACTCTACGTGATGTCCTGGTCCTTTTCAACGATAACGGACGAGCGATTTTGGTGTGTCCTAAAGTGAATCGTCTTTACGACAGAGTGTATGATCTAGAATTTTATAATAAAAGTCTGTGTGTAGAACCCTCAAAGTTTTAACAACTAAACAAAGGTATGACTATTTATTAAGTATGGAATCAGCCCAATGAAATACAAAAGGAAAAGAGCAATGATATCTCCTTTTTGAAGCTGTTTGGTGAATATTAAATCTCTCTTAAGATTTACAACAAAGGATAAATTCTGTCCTCTTCACTGATGCCAGAGGTAGTGATTTATAATGGGGGGGTTTTTTTGGCTTTTGATCAAAGTTTTTTTTCAAGAAAATAAACATTGAAATATGTTTTAAAAGTGACATAAAAGGTTTTGAGCTATTAAAGAAAATCAATAAAAATTTGCCCAGCCAATAGAAAATTGTCGGTTTCTTCGTATTTCATTATTTTGACGAGTGCCTGATTTCACCACGATGTCACACAAATGCTTCACCCCGGCAAGCTAATTCGGTACAAGATCAGCTTTACACAACACGATTTTTGTTGTGAAGGAAAGTAATTTTTTCACATCTAGCATGTGAGTCCGTACCAGCCTCTGTGGTGTAGGGGCTAGGTACTTCGCCGACGCACGCAAGAGAGTGAGTGCGACTCTATGTGGGAAGAGTTTTTGTCGAGTACTTTTGCTTTTCTGTGGGACGTTTTATCCTTCTCATTCCGGGTTGGCCTTGACAAGCAGGGCCGAAACAGCCTGCCTCCTACAGGAATTTAATTGTGTCGACGACGGGGTGGAACAATTTTCCAATGACATTAATTACAATAATTACATCTCAGCACTTTATTCTGTTTTCCTCGTCTCTTTCAGATTGTCTTTCAAGTGACGCTCCACGACGCCCAAAACAGTGGTGTCATCATCAATGACGTAACACTTGTACCCGGACCTTGCAAGAGACGGGGTGAGAATTGTTTATTTTGTTCAACTAGGACAGTCTTTAGCTCGTTTTTAAAAAATTTACTGCGTTCTCCAAAAGTACATTTTGTTTTTTATGGTTATCGTACTCACCCCATCCCCCCAACCAACACCCTTTTGGGGTTTTCCAAACAGCATCTTTGGTCTTGAGGTTAGGCTATTCGGTTGGCAACTTAAAAGTCGTAAGTTAAAACCCGACCTTGTGTCCCTGGAACAGGCACTTTGAATGAATTTTCCTCACTGAGAATGGATACCCGACAATAAACGGCGCAAAAACTTGTTAGTTTGTTCGCGTTTAAATTAATACAAAACAACGGTCTGTTGTATTCAAGTGCATGTTTTTTTAGGCGTTTATTGACCCGCACAGTTCAGGAAAAATGACTCTGTGTCGTTGGTGAATCAAGTGATGAATTTCATAAACCCTTTTCAGATATATAACTTGCAATATTCGATTTTTATTTCTATCCAGCAGACCAGTTCTTGTAGCAGGCTGAATTTGTCTTTCGTTGTACAAGTGAAACCACTAGATCTAATTTCAGTAAAAAGTATTACGACCTGAGTTCGATTCCCATGTGAGGGGAATTCTTATCGAGTATTTCGGTCCTTCTGCTAGGACGCTGTATCCCTCTCAGCCCGGTTGGCTCAGACGGGTAGATGCAGGGTCGAAGCCTGCTTCCTAAAAGATCTAAATATGTCGATGGAAGCGTAAAACACCCACATCTTATCTATTTTTGTTCTGTCTGACCCAACTACAGATGTGTGCGATCTAGAGAGCGACATGTGCGGCTTCTTCGGTACACAGGGTACAACTCTACATTGGCAGCGGGTGCAGGCGCTGGATCACACGACACACGGAACTGACGGTGCGGGCTCAAGCCTTTTGTTTGATTGTTCTCTTTAATTTCTGAGGCACAGGGGGTTGGCAGGTGCTCGGGTTTTGTTTGCTCCTTCTTTCCTATCAAACATATATTGTCCTTTTGTCTCATCCTTCTTTTCGTATTTGTTACTCTCTTGTATCACTTCTAATCTTCGGCACTTATATGACTGTATTGTGTTGCAAGTGCCGTAAAACTCCTAAAAAAAAGACGTTTTTGAGGCATGGTGTGAAGGTTTCTGTGCTGTAGTGGTTAGCATTTTTGCCCTGAACACAAAATACATAAGTATGCCCCCCCCCCCTCAAAAGGGGGAGGGGGTGGATTTTAATGATCATTTCAATCTTCTGCTGGATCGTAGCATCTTTCAGAGCCGGAATTCGCTCTAAAGTAAACCACACACGCACGACACGCACGAGCCAATGGGCACCAGCCAAGCAACTGGTCTTGTCCCGAGCGTCGGCCTTGGATTATTTTTTTCACACAGTCATGCAGCAGTGACGTCGAGGATATCTCCATATTTTTTCAGGCTAATTTACATAGTCAGCATTAGGCGTAGAGGGTTTTTTCATGTATACGGTTGTTTTTTCAACATAAAAATTTAATGTGTATGACAATTTGCATCAAATGCATGATAATTTTGACGCTGACTATGAATCTGTACATTAAAAAGGAAAGAGAGAGGACTTTTTTCTACACCACCACTCCACTCTACCCGTTCCAATGGAAAAAACGTTTGGGGTAACTTTGATTTCTGGATTTGCGCCCAGCCTCATGAAATCTTGGTAACACATGCTGCGAATTTCGAGGGGGGGGGAGGGGGAGTTGCAATAGGGTTGTAACTTTACCTAACAGGAACGTGAAAAATTGGGCTGCAATCGTCAAGATGTGCGAAGACGTGGGGGTTGGGGTTTAACTTTGACTATATTAATTCTCTAGGAAAAATCTTCGCTCGTTCACTTCTATACAAAGTAATCGCTCTCTCAGATGAGAAAATTGGTTAATTAGACAAGTGGTCGTCTTGAACAGCTACTTTTTATTTAAGAAAAAATGCAAAGTAGAAAGTGAGAAGTGGTTGTTTGTACAATTGCTTATATTGGATAGATAGTTGTTCGACCATAGTTCTATTGTACGCATTTGGTGCATTTACCCCTCGCCTCAGGTCACATTCTTCAGCTGCGGTCCAATGGCAAGCCCGAGGGTTCCGCAGGGGACCTTTTGAGTATGATGCTTCCCGGTACTGGACCAGAATGCCTTCAGTTTTGGTACAAACTGACCAGTCAGCCAGGCGCAGGACTTTTCAAGGTGTTGATGATGGAAAAGAAAGGGGAGGGGTGGCCTGTGACGATGGTGGCCTTGTGGAGTACGAGCGAACCGACAGGCTCGGACTGGGTGGTCATGAGACTGGAAATACCGGCGTCTGCAAGCTACATGGTACGATGGCTGCAAACTGGAAAGTGACAGTTTACATCTTTTCAGTTTACATGCTCCTTAATGATTTTTACTGACACTTTGCACTTTCTTAGTGACACTTTGCATTTTTTAAATTTGCATTCTCCTTGATGGTTCTTAGCGACACTGTACGTGTACAGTTTTTGGGAGGCTTTGAATTTGGGGAGATCATATTGGAGGTAGATGTTAATTCTGAGTTCACACCTATTAAAGAAAAAAGGACGTTAATCACATAAAATGATACTATTATACAAGAAAAGAAGAAGAAATTTTCTTCAATGTCTATTGTGAGATATACGTAAGGCATTCCTTTTAATAAGAAAGAACACCCCGAAACTTGCCCCCATTTATTGAAACTGGAAACAGTTGCGGTTACAATTGCTATTTTCCCAAGCGAAATAAATTATTTGCTTCGTGAAAGGTCCTGTGGATTGTTTATTTGATTACATGTATTTATAAGTCATTATAAAGTAAAATCACATCCCCCCTCCTCTGATTCCCTAATTCTCTCTCTCTCTCTCTCTCTCTCTCTCTCTCTCTCTCTCTCTCTCTCTCTTTCTCTCTAGGTCACGTTTCAAGGCACCACCACAAATCAGTCGGTGAGCTTTGAGGTGGACCTGGATGACATTCAGTTTTTGCCGCGTCCCTGCAGCGGCAGTTTGACCTGTGATTTTGAGCGTGACATGTGTCACTATCACCCTGATGATGGACAGGCGGCAGAATGGACTCTGTCAACTGCGTTTGGAGACCACACCACTTCCACGGGTGAGCATGATTTGAAGATTGATCGACTGTTTGGTTGGTTGGTTGGTCGTTACTTGATTGATAGTAATGTTAGACGTTGGTTGTTATACAGGTTCGAACGTATGTTCATTTAGTAGTTGGTTGAAGAGATGGTGGGCTGGTTGGTGGGTTGGTGGATTGGTGGGTTGGTGGATTGGTAGGTTGGTTTGTTGGTGGGGTGGTAGGTGTGTTGGTTGGTAGAAGTGTTGCTAGGCAGTTGGGTTTAGAAGGTATGGTAATTCGTTAGTAGAAGGGTTGGTGAGGGTATTAGTTGGTTATGCCATTGATATGTTTGTAAATATAGTATAGATTGTAAAGGGTATTGAAATTTCTGTTGCGTGGAAATTTGTGCTATCCAAAAGCTATTTATTTTCATCAAATAAACTAGGTGATAACTTGCTAGTCAAGTTGCTGATCATGTTGGTTGGTGTTTATGGAATTTCTTTTTTTTTTTGCTTGTTTGACAGGATGAGTAGGGAATGAACGGGCTGTATGCCAGTTTGGGCCACAGTCAGATTGCTTACTGAAAGTGAGCTAGATAGGAAACAAGGTAGTAAAAAACACTCAAGCATGATGGAAATCTCATCTATGCCCATCTTTTGATGACGGACGAAGCATTAATGTCACAAAACATACACCTTAATCTCAGACTGTTGTTGTGTAAAATTAGATGCAAAATTGTCCTGTATAGATAACTTTCGCCTCAACGACGTAATTAAACTTGTCTTATCTCTTTATAACAACTCTAGGTCAATGTGCGACTGTCCAGTTTTTGGATACCCAGACGGTAAAAACTAGATTGACTAGCGATCTCCAAAAGCCCATTGACAAGATGTGTCTCAAGTTCTGGTACAGTATCCAAGGATCAAGTAAGTTCCATCTTTGTGGAATACTTGCGTTTACCTATCATTGTCAGCCCCAGCCTATCTATCTATCTATCTATCTATCTATCTATCTATCTATCTATCTATCTATCTATCTATCTATCTATCTATCTATCTGTCTGTCTGTCTGTCTGTCTGTCTGTCTGTCTGTCTGTCTGTCTGTCTGTCTGTCTGTCTGTCTGTCTGTCTGTCTGTCTGTCTGTCTGTCTGTCTGTCTGTCTGTCTGTCTGTCTGTCTGTCTGTCTGTCTGTCTGTCTGTCTGTCTGTCTGTCTGTCTGTCTGTCTGTCTGTCTGTCTGTCTGTCTGTCTGTCTGTCTGTCTGTCTGTCTGTCTGTCTGTCTGTCAAAGATTCGAAGCAACGTTGTCCGCACAGTTGTCTAGAATGATACAGCCTGACTTGCTGACGTGCCCTTTGGAGGTGAATTGCTTACCATCAGCGTGACCCAACCCCATCAATAACTACCAAAAAAACAACCCCTCAACAAAACCAAAACGCAAAAAACGACCCCAAACAAAAAAAAACACGAAATAAAACAAAAGACCCAAAGCAAACGAATCATAGGAGTGATCTTTAACCCCACAAAAAATAGATACTGATTTAAAGTCCTTTCTCTCTGTCTAGGTCTCCCCCCCCCTCCATCTCCTATCCCCCCCCCTCTCTCTCTCTCTCTCTCTCTCTCTCTCTCTCTCTCTCTCTTCCTCTCTCCCCCCCCCCTCTCTCTCTCTTAATCTTGCCCCTCCCCCATGACCCTGACATGGATTACTCTATTTTCCCAGACACTCTCCGAGTCATCCAAGTTTATCAGGATGGCAGCGAGCAAATCGTGAAGGAGGTCTCCAGCACAGATGCAGTATCTACTAAAAGCACACTGAGCTGGAGCTCTCTGCTCCTGGATCTGTCTAGCTCGGGAATTTCTTTCACCCTCGTGTTTGAGGCTGAAAATAAGGTAAAAGAGTCTTGTAGGTGTGATGATGGCCTTGGCTTACGCAGGCCTTTTTTTTCAAATCTCAAGGACAAAACAAACCCATCTATAGGTGCAAAGACACTCTCCACCATACGTGTTCTCCACCCTTCTTTCCTCTTCTCTTTTCTTCTGCCACATCTCTCTCTCTCTCTCTCTCTCTCTCTCTTTCTCTCTCCCTCTCTCTCTCCCTCTCTCTCTCGCTCGCTCTCTCATTCTTTCTTTCTCTCTCTCTCTCTCTCTCTCTCTCTCTCTCTCTCTCTCTCTCTCTCTCTCTCTCTCTCCATTAACCCATGCCCCTTTCTTTTCTTTACTCCTTTCTCTCTGGTTTTCTTTTTTCTCCCCCTTCTGTCTCCCCGCTCTACTGCCACTTCTCTCTACTACCTCTCCCACACTCTCTCATTCTCTCGCTTCCTCTCTTTAAATCGACCCCCCTCCCTCTCATCCCTTCTCTCTTAGCCTAAGGCTTTATGAGTACACCTGAAATTATTTGACTACATCGAGTCCTCCCTTATACCGCATGGCAAATTCCAAAAATCTTGTTTCAGTTCATTTTCCAACGGAACACTTTGCTTTCGGGGTTTGCACTAGACAATAATTCAGCAATTGGTCCCAGGTTTAACTAAATGTAGCTGTTTTTACGCCCTCATCTACACAATTTAGATACTTTGGAGGCGAGCTTCGACCTGTTTGTCAGGACCAACAAGGGCTGAAAGGGATACAACGTTTAAGCAGAAATGCCACGACACTCGATAAAATTTCTCCCCAAATGGGAATCGAACCTTGGTCTTCTCCATACGACAGTCAGTCGCCTAACCGCTACACTGCAGATGCTGCTCAACTTACCTTTAACGTGGCCCAGCCAGAGCACGTTGATACTGCTAGAAATGTCGTGGTAACTGACCCTTCCATAATCTGTTGTCAAGGACATAAAGCAACATTTCTTTTCAGTCTTGTCACCATCATACATATTAATGCATACTCACGCTTGCACACACACACACGTACATACACATATTCGTATGCACCTATATTGGCTTTTTATATTTACTTCAGAATCAAGGCTCAGTATTAATTGATGACGTCACGACGTATGACAGCCTGTGCAGTAACGTCAAGGATACCCAGCAAGGGAAACCTTCACAGTCAGATTCTAAAAAAGGAGGTGAGCTTGGTTCCGAAATCTCTTTGCTTGGTTAGAAGGAAATATTTGAGAATGGACTAAACACAAATTGGACCGTAATGGGGATTTAAATTTTGGACTTTTCGTCCAAATAAGTAAAATAAGACACTATGGGCAAGTATGTCAAAATTCAAGTTTTTCTTTAATCCTGATTGGGAATCATCTGACAATAAAGATACTCTTAAGTTTGCATTTTTTTAAAAGATGCATTAATAGACATACACTCGATAAGTACGATTTACAAACAAAAACAAAAGCAGAGTACACATTTCCCCTTAATGACATGGATGCAAGGCAGAGCTGATTGGACTTTTGGTTTGATCTAAAGAAAGAAAAAAAAATCAGTTCAATTTTTATAAAATCCACTGAAACTCCAAAGAGCAAAATATGTCCGCTGTGAAAATGTTAAGCAAGATACAAACATCCAGAAAACCACCAAAATTTTTGACACACTTTGTTACACTAAGGAGCTCCATCTCCCCCCCCCC